TCCTTTCTACTAACAAAAGTCCAAGTCACACCTTACTGGCCTTGTGAGCCTTGTGGTTATATAATACCTAATCTGGTGAAAATGCCCTTTCGCAAAGCTTACGCAACATTGCTTCTCTTGGACTCTTTCGCTCGAGGCTTTCGCGAGCTTTCGCACTGCTCAGTTTTTTCTTTCGCCGGGACTATGTTAGTTTCATAGCCTTACTAAACCTTCACTCGGGAGGTTTGGACTCTGCTCAATTGGCTGCTCATCCAGTCTGCGAAGAGTTTGGCACTTCCACTTGTCCAATGTGATGAGTAACTGTTTTTGGCTCGTGCAGCTGCTCAGCTGCTGAGTGGTCAAAGCAACACACAACGTCATCAAAAAAAAACAAAAGAACAAACACAAACACATCCACACCTCCAGCATGGAGCAAATGGCACTAATGACACTGTTATGTGTACACAGCCTTCGTCAAGTACCTACTCCTGCTACCGCCCCCTCCTGGTCCGTGGGCACATCCACCAAACGCATTTCTAAGCCTTCGATCTGCCGATCGCTGTCATTCAGGCCTCGGTCCACTGTCGACGGGCCCTGCGGCGTAGTGTTTCGTTTTTTTCATCACTTGAAAGATGTAATCGTCTGTAATCCTACAGCTCCAGACTGTTTGAAGGGGGTCCCAACCCTTACAAAAAGACTTCAACGCAGAGTGGAGTCGAAGTCTAGACATCGCGAAGGAAAGGCGCTCACATGTCAATGTGTGGTTCCGGCAAAAGAAAAGGAAACTCTGTGCTCCACAAAACTCTTCCCTACGCTCCACCCAAACTGGGCTTCACCTGAACCTCGCAGGCCCTGCATCATGAGCTTCAGCTCCTAGCACCGAAGCCGCGGGACTCAGGTCTATCGTAGTAGGCTGGATCTCTCTTCGAGCAAACCCTGACATGGTATGAAGCTCTGGCAATCCCTCGGCTCTGGTAATCCCTTAAAAAATGAACTCTTCACCATTCAAACCAAAACAGGTGTGCTTAGATTAGAACAGGTCCAAACAATGAACCAGCTCTCGTGGCCTTCATGCTGTAAATGTTGTGTTTGATGGCCTTCATTGCTCCATCATTGTACAAGGGTTTTCATCTGCCTTATCCATCCATTTATATATATATATATAGTTTCCACTTGTAGGCCTTATGCCGGAATAACCCGTCGAATCCGTAGGGGCCTTTGTGAGTGCTCAAATGCCTTCAGGTTGCACACCTGTCACCCAGCCTTGGGTATGAAGTTTGGGCATGCCATGGTTTCCTTTGCCGCTTTCCTTGAAATCTTGACTGCAAACACATCATGGTGCAGTCACTTTTTATTTTGACCATGTTCTGTCATGTACGCCCTTGCTGGAGGACCTTCTCACACTAGCTCGTTGACATGTTCGTTACGTCACCAACAGTTCGTGCACAAACAAACTTCATGGCACATTGTGGACTCAAGTCTCGCATGCTATTGAGAAACACGACAGTCTGACGATGCTTGTGTGGCTCAGCAACATCGGCCGCTTTGCTTGCACCCAGTTGATCTATTCTTTGTGGCTGCCTCAACGTGTGAAAGTTCTGAAAGCATTGAGTTTCGTTCGCCCTTGAGCCCTGACTTAAGGCTATTATTATATGGTTGTGGTTAATTCATACATGTTAACTATCTTATATATCTCTTTATTGCACTGGGCTTCCTACCGCAAGTACAGACTTTGAGCCTTGCGGATATTTATTGGCCATCAATCTCTAGCGTTCGCTACTCAAGTGAAAATGCACCGAGTGCATGAGTCTGGTGCTTCGACCCATGCCGTTGCCGCTGTGCAACCCAGGCCGCGAGGGAGGTGTGACCACATGCGAGCACCAACCGACGCAATCACAAAGTGGAACTACCACTGCGCAAAGCCGCATGAGATTTGCGTACGTTCGTTGAACGCTGGCAAGAACTTGGATGGCAAAGCTATTCTGCTTCTGACCATGGGACTTCATGCGATTTCACATAATATCCCATGGTCTTATGGCCATTGTTTCCCCCGTCTCCTCGTCCTTTTCCATGGACGCCTCGAACTGCTTCCGCTGCTGCCGCATCTGTTGCGAAAGGTCAGACATGGTTCCGCCTCCGGCTTCGGGCCAGGTTCACTTCTCTGAGAGGGACGAGAAAGGACCGAACTGGATTCTTGGAATGTGGAAAAGGGGCATAAGAAGTTCACAAACATCAACCAAACTTGCTGCTATAAGATCTAAGTGCACACACACTAAATCCACATGGTGAACCTCTGCGGACCTTGAAGATGTTGTTCGGAAAGCACATCCTGGAATCCTGTGTTTGTTCTGGGGGTACGATAGGTACACCATGGTACACCTATATACGGCGATCACATGCGATCACTGTCACTGACATCCAGAAAGTACAGGCACTACTCACGTGTTTGTCAGCTCATCAGCATTCCACAGTTCGCAGGGTCACAACGTGCACTGAGTCGAGGCTTCCCTCCTCCAACCTTTGCTGCACAACCGAAAATAGATGAAAAATGATGAAAATAGGCTTGTGTAATCGATTATGCGGCGGAGACTCCCCAATGCATTCACAATAAGGTAGGGTAGAGTCTTGTCATTGACTCGAGGGCAAGTCATGGTACCCAACCAATGGGTTTTGCGGCTTTGCTTCATGTCTCGGCCTGTTCACGGCCGTCTGCACCTCTCCAGCTATGCGCGAGAGGTTCAAGAAGGTCGAAAAGTGCATTAGCCATCCGCCTCTGGCCCCAACCAATCGGGTTGGTCAATTAATTACACATTCCTTTTATGAGAAGGGTCATTGGGGTCTCCCTATTCTATTATACTGTTACACACCCGGTATGCCAACAAAATCCAACAAGTCAGAATACTTCCAACCCGCTCCGACCTCGCCGCTCCTCGCCTCGTGTTGCTCTGCGCACCGACCTCCGCCCCTTGGAGAGGCCCCACAAGCCGCCTACAACGAAGCACAAAGAAAGACACATAAAGCCACCAACATTGCTACATGATGCTACATGACAATCACCGTCAAGCACACATTCCCATCAGTGCTTCGCTGGGATTAGCACATGGAGAACTTCGGGATGTGAGAACCATTTCAGCATATTTCAGCTACACAGAAATAGCCTGCAATCCGACCCTGAAAATATGTTTGGTTTGAGACCCAAAGGCCTTCTCCTTGAAGATCGGTGCATAAGCGTCCAAAGCACCGAGAGGATCCGATTCGATTTGGGTCAAAGCAAGCATGGGGTCCAGTGCAAAAGAAACAGCCTTTAAGCCCGACCTGAGGACGGACCGGTTTTATCTTCCGTGGAAATGTACCTGGAAATCGACCAGAAACAACTCTCGAGTCCATGTGCAAACATTCTCAGGATAGTACCAATCCAAGCACTCTCTCCGCAAGTACTCACTCCAGGTTGTGACACAACGCAAACAAACATCCGGAATGATCTCCACAATTGCAACATGTTCTTCAATTTTGAGTCCAGCCCGCACTAAACACATCTAAACACTCTGCAGTCTGCAACCCTCTCCCCCAACCCCACGACGCCACCGCCTGCCACCAGCGCTGTGCCCTGCGGCCCCGGACCGCCACTTGCGCGTGGCACACCGCCCGCGTGTGGCACGCGCTGCGGTCGGGCGAGATGGCCCGAGGGCGCTGTGGCGAACGCCTTGGTCACACAGTGCATCCCGAAAACCCAACACCGACCGTGCTGGGCTGTGCTTCGGGGGATTCGTTTTGCTGTGCGGGGATATCTGGATGGAATCGGGTGATCCGATCGTGCCACAGTTCTGCTGGTTTAGCCACCCCATGTGAATCAGGATCTGAGAGATGCGGTCTTAATCGGGGCCTCAGCACTACAAATCAATGCGCCACACTCTGGGTCATGGAGTGCTGCTGTGCTTGGTATCTCAACCACCATTCAGTCTGCAGTACTCATTTTAAACCCCTTTTTGACACCATCAAGAAGGAAAATTATGGGCCGATCAACACGGCACCCCACCTGGCTTCCTTCCAAGCGACTAGGCTGCTTCGGCTAACGAAATCCGCCGTGGCCATGGCTTCGGATGGAGCGGCTAGGACCTCTCAGTCAGAAAAATGTCGTTGGCCCGCTTTTGCCATTGATCTTTCGACTGGAGTGGCGGAGTGGCTGGATCTGTCGAGGTTTCGGTTCGGTGCGCTGATTCAAGGCATCTGAATCAGATTACGTCTTGAATCAAAGCATTTAGACTCGTTATATAGGTTGATTTAGGTGATTTAGACGACCTCATCCAAACTGCTGAACATATGTCTCCTTTGCCATGTCATGAGCTCGGCAACGCTAAAAGGTCCAAAAGCCACAAGAAGTTCATGTTCCCATCCAGAAGGATTCCCAAACCGGTTTCCTCACTGGTCGTGGTTTCCTTGGAGTCGATTCCTACACAAAAGCACATTTGGTCTCTAAGATTCCCAAACTGACCCTATGAACACCGTTGATTTCTGATAGTAGTCTTGACGTGCTTGAGGAGCCTTTTTTCATGGGTGTTTGATGGTGTTTGGATGTTGGGCACTGTGTCCTTCCCATCATCCTCCCCATCGGCTTGGTCTCGGTGGGCGGTCCAACCCCCTTGACGCAGGGTGTCTGGAGTCCTGAAAGGGGTCCTACGATGAAGGACAGCTTAACATGAGGGGTTGGTGTGTCTTTGAAAGCTTTTGTGACACATGAAACATGAACCATCATGAATCAAAGTTTGGTTGAAGTTCATCTACTGAGGGTGGAATATCCACCCGAGACACATGCGTGGTTCTTGAGCGTGGAATATCAGTTGAAGTAAATCAGTCAGGAAGAATTGACTTCACAGATCTTGACAGCCAAGCTTATAAAGGTTTCTTTCGAGAGGAAGACTTGCTGTTGCATCAGCTGCAAGGCACTTCAGTCCTACCCCAACAGGGTTACACCTATCGTCCGCGACCGTGTCCATCCGTCACTGAGTGGATCTTGGGAGCACAGGGACATTTCCAAGTCCGTGTCCCATGGCATCATCGAGACGTCACCTGGAAGAAGACAACGCCCGGCCGCGTTCTAGGCCAGGCCGCCGTTTGAGAGGTGAAGTTTGCCCAGGTGAGGTTTTTGCGGGCATCTTTTCGCGAAAAACAGCGTGACACGCGACCAAAAGCATCACTGTGCACCTCCACGGATCATTGCGGTCAACAACGTGCCCTGAGCACGAAAGGTGACCGATCCACGAGCATTGAAGAACATCTGTCGATCAATACAATGAAATGGATGATGAAGAACAGCTGTGTGCGGACCTCTGACTTTTAATGAAACAGCTTCCCCTGCAGGTTCCTCCTTCCATCAGCCTGCTTTGGAGCTGCAAAGTGGCGCTTGGGATCCTCAAACGGTGGGTTCTGAGGCAACGAGACATGGCGAACGACTGTTTGGAGGAGTCAACTGTACCGTGATTAATCCTCAACTTCTCCTTTGAAGGGTATAAACGTGACATAAAATTACCCCATGATGAAGCCGAAACCAGGTCCTGTGATTCAATCATCATACCTGCATTTGTTCCGTTCACATCCATTCACGTGTTCTCCAAGATTCCAAGGACCTCCACCAGTCGACGATTTTCACGAAGGTCTCCTTTGGAGTTGGAAGAAACCCGGACAAGCAAGGGAAAAGGAGGGTTTGGGATGCAAATTGGAAACTCTTTGAAGGCTGGTGGATGAAAGTTTCTGTCTGTAGACCTCCTGACAAGCTCTTTGATAGTTTCACGTCAACAACGCTGTTCCCAGTGCTTTTGTCTTCAAACACCTCTTGGAAATAGCCCCCACACAGGGAATAAAGACAAACCCTACAATTACAACAGGTTTGTAGATTCGGAACTTTCACTAGCTGAGTTCCAAACATATAGGAACTTTTGGAGCATCAAACATACCGTACCTCTACTTTGCATATCATGCACATTTGTAAGTAAAGTGACTTCTCTTGCGTATGAACAAAAATGGGCGGGATAGTAGAAAGCCTCGAAATAAAGTACTGTACGCAAACACTTCCAAATAATACAGATTGTCTTGTTCAAAAGCAAGGATTTCACTGTGTCACACTTATTGATAGTTGTTGTCACCCTTGAAGAATAAACCATTGCTCTTTGAATACCATGAAGCCTACGGCATCCACGCAAAAAATCACACCGTTGGGTTCACCGTCACATTGTTCAGCCACCCCACCCCTTTGGATATTGGGCCAGTAAATCAGGGCCACTTTTCCTAGCCCTGGAAGCATTCCAGGACACTCAAGCGGCAAGCACCTTTCGCCACTTGAGCCTAATTGGTCGGTAAGATCATGAGAACATGATAGTGCATGCATACTATATATGCGTGCACTCTTGCAAACGCATATCTTTTCCTGTCATCAGCTAGGCCCTGGGCCTAGGCTGACCGTTTGAAGCTACAGGTCATGTCTAAGATACTCATGCACAACTTCGTCAGCTCTATCCGCTCCACTCCTCGATCCGGCGCCGGTAGAGCAAGGACGTGGCCAAGCCTGAAGCGCCCGCGTCAACATGGGAGTGGCAAACCGGGAACCCCGAATCAATGTAGACTGACCTCTTTAGTTGTCCTTGAGTGCCATGACCCCAAAACGATTTGGGTTCACCCACAGTGCGCGCCCCGTGGCGGTGTCCTGGTGTGAGCAACACCGCAACCGGAGCGCTTTTCGTGAGGACTCCGACAAGTCACACGCAAGTGGTGTTTGCCCCAAAGGACATCCAAGAAGGACACCAGTGCTCCTTTGGACCAAAGGTGTCCGAATCCTGTTTTTGGGCATCTGCGCGGTGGCAGTGGTGGTTGGTTTCCAAGCACAATTGAAGGGAGGGCTGTACTGAACAGCAACTGCTTGGATGAACATCTTAGGTCTTAGATCTTTATTTAACAAGCCTGCAAGTCAACCACGGCTTCAGAAGACGATGGACTGACTATTGGATTTTAACCGTTAGCAATGCAGCAATCAGGAACGACTTGGACTTGATGCTGCCCAAACGCGTGATGCTTCAAAAGGACGATCGCCGAGCTTTGAATTGGACATAAATCGCAATAAATACTAGGCGGTTCCCATCTATTCTAACATCACCAAATGACGAGTTGGGCCGCGGTGGGGCCACTGAGTCCACCCACGAATTCTGGATGGACTCTTGGGAACTGCCATGGGTGTATTGTCAGCATAGATATCTGCTACTTGAAGGAAATTGCAGTGAAGAGTAGTAGCAAGAGATGCGAGGGCAACTGCAGGATTGATGGTTTAGAGGAGGCAACTATTGTGTGATGACTGACTTCCTGAACGCACACGCAGTACGAACACAAAATGAAGGCAATAAGTGGTCTATCTGCATAGGCTCATCACAGAAAGGACATTCCGCTTGGAGGGCATTGACTGGATGTAACTGTGTAACTGAAACGGGTGCAACATGGTGCAACTTAAAATGCACCGAACTTCCAGAACGGTCTTAACTCCCCTTACGATGCAGGATGTCTTTATATTTGTACGACTGAGTCCCATGCAAGTAAATGCAGTTGGATGGTTTCTTGTATGTTGTGACGAGATGAACATGTGGACCATGACTGTCGTTGACTGTGAGGTCAATGGCCCACCAAGTCAGGATATACTTAATTTCATAATCCTTTACCCGGAAAGCTGGTCAAAAATCTGACCCCAATCCCGGGGACGACTTGGATCAACCACTGATAACTAGGCAAGGATCACAAACCCCGATGTATGCTCCTTCTGTGGGCAACGAGAGACTCATGATCATCTGTTTCGACAACCCTGTTTACCGTGACTTGAGGCCTTCGGCCAAATACCACTGCCATCCGACAACTTGGCATACTGGCATTATTTTTGGCCCCCATCCGAATATTGAACACATTGATATTCTGAAGTTCTGCGGCAAACGTGTCCGGATCCTATCTTTCTTGAGACGGTTGTTTTTGTTGATGGTTCTGTCTTCAAACGCACCTGGTATCACCTGGTCACGTATTGCTGCTGCTGCTGCATCAGCTGCGTTTTTTCCAACCAAACAGAGTGGGTGGTTTCTTTGCTGTGTGCTGAACAGAGCATATACCGCGCAGAAATCCTGGCTCTTCTTATGGCTGTCATGATCACTGAAGGTGACATGTCCACAGCCACTGATCGCCTCAATGCAATCAAGTATGGAAAGTTAATGAGGTTTGATGTCAAAACTGAGTGGCACTTCATGCGTTGACGCATAGTGATGTTTGGAGACTTTTCCCAACCGTTCTTGGGCAAAGTTCAGGCTCGCCCTTGCGTGCAAGATGTATTTTTTACACGTGGAATGTCGAGGCTGACTGGTTGGCCAAACAAGCCTCAAAAGTCATCACCTCCCCTTCCTTCTAACTCTGAGTACGTATTTAAAAAAAGCCTCCCCAATTAAAAAACACCACGTCCGAAACCCAAAATACGGTCCACACTTGTTCTTAAATTACCGCCTTTTCAAGCCACTACTAAACTACCAACATGGTCGATTTTGGGGGGAGATTGTTCAATTAGGTTCCCCCAAAACTCCCTCAAAATAGGTCCCAATACACCCTCAAAATCGACCATGTTGCGTTGCTGACTCTCCGCTGGCTGTCCCTCCCCTGCCTGTCTGCCTCTCGCTTCTGCTGTCAAGCGGACTGTCTGGCTGTCTGTCTGGCTCTGGGCAGGTTAATATCCTCTTGCCCCAATCCTACAAACATGCCGTGGATAATTACAACCAAGTCCTGCACATGCCACGAAATCTGCACTTCCAGGTCGACAAAGAAGTGCACTTGCCACAAAATCTGCACTTCAAGGTCTACAAAGGACTACACATGCGACGAAATCTGCACTTCAAGGCCCACAAAGTACTGCCTCTGCCACTAAATCTGCACTTCAAGGACCACAAAGTACTGCACATGCCACGAAATCTGCGCTTCAAGGTCCACAAAGTAATGCACCTGCCGTGAAATCTGCACTTCAAGGTCAACAGAGTACTGCACCCGCCACGAAATCTGCATTTGATCTGCAATTAATCATTGATTCAAGGATCCTTCCACTGACCCTAATTATTTTGGATCCCCCCGATTTCAGGGCATGTTTTTTTAAATAGGTGGACAGGACGATCCAAAGCTGTTGCGATCCAAACGGACGCACCTTGTCTCGGCTCAAAGGGACGATGTTCGTGTTTCTCGGCACGCTCGCTCAGCATCGTCGTGAGTGTCCGTCGTGTGCGTGCAGGCCTTCTGGGTTTCCGAGGGATTTCACGAAGTGCACACATTGTTGTTCTGCTCAGTTTGCCTGTGTTGAAACTTCTCTTGTCACACTTCAACCGAAATGTCCGTCTCTGGACACCCTTTTAAGCAACCAATCATGTGCCCCCCTCCCTTTAGTATCGCTTGGCGACTTTATCTATGGGAGACAGCGATTTCCACCTGCTGTTCCACAACCGCTTCATGAATACTTTGGTTGGTCACAAACACAGCGCCAAAACGAATTGGTTGCTACTAGTTTTCGACTCTGTTGCCGCCTTTCTAGAAAATTTGGTTGCTCTCAGGTGACTTGACTCTTCATGAGGCCACAGTTCAGGTCCTTTCCAAACGACTTTCCAAACGCTATACTGTGCTTTCGGGTGCACCTTTTGTCCCCTACCCCGCCATTGTAACGTTCTGAATATCTTTGGGCTCCACCATTCTTCTGGATTCTGCAGCGAATTTGTTCCCTTGCACACCTTGGGATTCTGGTATGCGTGCGCGAAAACATCCCTAACAATGTCTAAGTAGTGCTTTGATCCCGTGGTTGACTGGCATCAATGGAGCGGCAAAAAACTGGGGAATACATTCTCCAACCTAGGTGCCAGCTGCACTACTTCTAGCACGAAAAAACGATATGTGATAGATCTTTCTCGCTGCCAAAAGATATACAAGGTTATATGTATAACACTTTCTATGGCCGCAAATTGCATCCAAATATTGCAAATGACTTTATGTAACCTGGGTCGATCAACCAAAAGAAGCCCCTCACAGAACCTCCAAACCATGATTAAACCACACCCCACCTGGGGCGCGCACGTTCTTCTGCCAGGATGTGTGCGTGGGACCACGCGCTGCCGTTGGCCACGTCTGGCAGTCCATGCATTCTACATCTCTACACAGGTACCTTCGGATACCGGGAAACTCAAAAGCCCTGAGGTTTGTTCGGGAAAGTATCACGCAACTATATATATAATATAGATAGATAGAGAGAGTTCCATCATGTTCCATCTGCTACTGCATAAATTATCCTAATTTTAGATTCTGAGGTGGGAGGTTGAGCACTCCTCTTGGCCCTTGACGACCCCAAGAATTACTTGGACCTCATGCAGGCAAAAATAAACTTAATTTGACCCATCATTCCCACCATCCATGACCCTTGCTCCAGGAAACCTCGCGCATGTTTTTTCTCTAATCTCCAAAATCTGATCTTGTGCATGCGCAGCCATGCGCAGGTCCATCGGTTAAACAAAAATAAAAAACAAATTGAAAACCCTGGGCGTTGAGTCAGTTGAGATTTGAACCAACGTAGACTCTGTTGTCGTGGACCTCTCTTTACGTAGACCTTGGCGGACAAGCAGGAGCTTCATCTATACTGGCCACCTTACACGAGGGGAAGTCTCATGACAAGCAGGCCTAGGCAGCGAAAAAAGGTCGTAGTCTTCTGCGTAGATTCGGAGAGCCCGCTTGCAAGTGGCCATATCATAGATGTCGTCCAAGATCTTGAAGTTTGAATCAGTCTGATGCTTATGTAGCTTGCTTTTTATTTTGTCAGAGACAACAATGTTTTGCAGCGTGGAGAGCTTTGATTTACTCACTCTGCTCCCCATGATCCGAAGTACACAATCACGCAAAACCGGGTGGGTGCTCTTGTCGAGGCCCATGTGCAGCACATATTGGTAACACTTCTTGAAATGCGTTAAGCCGCATGCTTGTGCTTGCTTCTGCCAGTGGACATTAGTCACATTGCGTTTCATTTGAGCATCGACTCTTCTGACAAAGTCAGCAAAGGTCAAGCTCCTCAGGACTGGAACTGGAACATTCAGTGCTTTCGCAAAGACTTTTTGGTCAGGATGTCGCCTGCGTATCTTATCGAAATAAGCTGAGCGTAAGCGATCCAGTGGATCACGGACTATAACCAACTTGGCCCAATCTGAGTCGAACATCATCTGCAAAGCATCATGTCGAAATTCTCTCAACAATGTCAGATTGTAGGCAATCTTCAAGCTGTTCTTCCCAACAATGTAATGCTTGCTCCCCATAGTATTGTAGTCCTGACCATCGAGCACCCGGAGAAGCCGCAAGAACTCGTTGGTGCCCACTTTATACTGTGGACAAAAGATCAGCTTGGCATCTGGAACCACCAGGGTTGACAACCAGCGGATCGGTTGCTGCTGGCTGAATTCGATATCTGACTTGGAGGGCTGTCGTTTTGGAATGTCCCATCCTCCGAAGTTGGTGCAGCTCTGCAGGCTCTGCAGGCTCTGCATGGTTTGGCCAAGGAACTTCAAGTAAATGGGATTCATTTGATAGATTCCACCAACCAACAGCAATATCGTGGCCAGGGAGGCCAGGAAAACCAGCAGCAGCTTCATGAAGCCAGGATATCAACGGTCCATTGGATGATGCAACATCAGCCACAAGTTGCTGATCTGCAAGAGTGATCACTTATAGTCATGAAACAGGCAAATATACATCTTGACATTTTGGGTGTTTTGCTTCTCGCCTCCCAAACAAAAAGAGCAAGGTGCAAGTGGCACTCCACTCTTTCGGACACCTCATACCGAGCAGCGGGCAAGTTCACAGAAGCAAACATGATATATATATATATAGTTATATTTAAATATAATATATATATATATAATATTACATATATAATTATATATAATGGTATAATGCATACCTAATGAAATCTGAAAATACTCCGAATCCTCTCGACTTTCTTTCTTCGTGATCACACAAGCCAACGGAGCCTTCGCCACCCAAGCCGTGCTCAGCCAAGCGGGTCTGCCTGGCGCCGCTGACGTGAAGGTTTCACAGTCCACAGTCCCAAACTGACAGGCACCGGGGGTTCTACAAATTTGAGGGGTGCACATGATGTCAAGTGTAAAGCATCAAATGACATATATAACATGTCTGCTAAGATGATGTAGATCTTGAACGTTTGCGCAGTGAAGTGTGGATCCAGTTGATCTCTAGTGGGCGGGAGTGAAGTCATCATTGAAACCATCATTGCCTGTGGTTTGACAGTTGTGCTGGTGAGCTGCAAGAAAGGGCCTTTGGCCGGTGCCTGCTGACGTAGCTGACTGCTTCCAAATGGAATTGCTGTGCAAAGGCATCCTGAGCAACATCCTCCAACAAATGATTAGCATCTATATACAGTATACAATGAAGCACGGTGCAAGGAATCTGGAAATCATGTCCTGCCAAAGTCATACCGCCATTGCTGGATATGAAAATGTACAATGTTCTAGCAGCTAGCACCCTCAAATACCCTGAACACCCCCTTCAGAACTAAGGAACAGCACGTTGCTACCCAAAAGCCATGACCACCATTCCCATCATTCCTCAACGGCTGACACGAAGGATTAAGGCTGATCTTGCTTCTCCACAGAGTGGGACCCGGAGGTTTGCAGAGTTGTCTACACAACCTCAAAGTAAAAGTTTGCCCAGGAGGGCTCTCCTGCCATGCCACAACCTGACTGGGCCAAAGTCCCAAAATATTATCCCTGGGAGGAACCCGATAAATATCCGAAGGATGAGCTCTTCCAGAAAGGTCTTACGGTACTTTCATTGCACTGGGCCATCAGCTTCTCAAAGCCCAGGCTCTTCGTCTGGCATCTCCATTGATCCAAGGCTCGGGAAGCTGAGCGCTTTGGGCATAATCCTCTTCCCCTTGGTGCAAAGACCCACAAATGTCGTCGTCAGATTGACAAGGATTCATCGCGTGCCCTAGTGGTGTGACGCGCAAGCACCCTGGAAGGGGTCTGTGTTCAATGGTTACACAATCACAAGTGAGAGCTGTCAACCACTAGTCACTAAAGTGATGTATGTGCAATTCAAATCTCCCTTGTCACCTACTCATGACATCACCTCGAACTGTAGCGGCTCATAGCCAAACAGAGTCCTACCAGTTGCCAACCTCGCAGGAAGAAAGGGAGTGACCAAAGGCTGCATCAACTAGAAAAACAGTGTCTTCATGTCCCAAGGAGAGATCCATACCCAAATGGACCCATCAATAAACCACCGTTCAGGGACTGCAAAAAAAGTGCGGCCACACTGTTGCACGTGGCTCCACAAGTGGCCGCACTAATGTTGACACTGCCCTCCATGCAACAAGACCTATGAACTTGCATGGAGTTCCAGGAGCCTCTTTCGTGAAGACCAGATCCCTCAAAATCCCTCAAAACCGTCGCGGTAGCAGTCGTGACCAAACTTCACCCGAGACCGTTGAATGTGCTGAGCCCGCATGCGAGACACCGCACCCACAGCCTCGAAGGACGTGGGCAGTGGAAATTGTGCAACCCCTGTGACCTGTGACCCCGTGGTACAGTACGGCTATGGGTTGGGTTGAGCATGTTGGTACAGGACCCAAACGTATGGAATGCTGCCTATTCACATCAGCCTATTCACCCACTTGGAGCAGCGGCTTTTCAATTTCTCAGTGGTCACTAGCAGCCATCACCTCAATTAGGAGCCGAATTCCCCAGCGGAAGTCCGAATTCCCTTTCACTCATCACGGGTAATCTTGGGCCAGAAATGTTTCAACACGTTACCAGGATCAAAAGGTTGAATGACCTTCACAGTGCACAATTTGGAGAACACTGAGGGTGTCAACGCTAGTCTTTGGTTGAAAAAAATCCAAAACGCAGGCCAGGCAGGCTAATCTTGATTCACTCGGGACTTACTGTGAATTTTTATGACCAGGGGTCCTTGACAGTAAACAATATCTCAATGAAACGCAAATAAATCTGCGAATCGCTTTGTGCCGTGAGGCAAAGGTAAACTCCATAGAGCCATAGACTTCATTGTGCCTCCAAGGGCTGGGAAAAGTTCTGAGAGCTCCAACGCAAGTGAGGATCTGGCCTGGCAGCTGAAACACCTACGAATCTCTTGAGAAGTTGCACAAACGGTTCACCAATTTATCCAAAACCATGATCCTCTTTATCCAATCGGAGTGGGGTCCAACTACTTACTGGGACACTTGAGTGTGACAATAAAACTTGTTTTCTGCTGGACTGCGTCGAGGTCCCACGTGGTTATACATCATCCTCTTTTCAACGCACTACTAATATGTATATATCTGAGTGAATTAAATTAGTTTCATTAATTTCGTTCACCTCGTCGTCTTAATTTCATGTTTTGAAATTATTCACCTCGCCTCGTTTAATTTCAATAATTTCATTCACCTCGTCTGCATTTGATGTGGGGGGCCTGAATGCCTGCCATGGCTTCCTGCACGTGCAAACTAGTAATCGGGCCTATTTCTTGACAATAGGTTGTTTTTTGTCTTTGGGATTCTTGGGGCTCTCTGCCCTGCATGGGTGGAAGAATCCCTGTAGCTCCTGGAAACTACACCAACAGTGGCCTCTACAAGCCCCAATCCCTTCAAGCATGCTTGGGTCAAAATCAGGCCTATTTCTTAGAAATAGGATGTTTTTTGGTCTTTGGGTATTCTTGAGGCTTCTGTGTGGCATGGTGAGTTGAGCCCCTGTAGCTCCTAGAAACTACACCCAGCAGTGGCCTCTACAAGCCCCAATCCCTTCAAGCGTGCTTGAGATAAAAATCGGGTCTATTTCTTAAACATAGGTTGTTTTTTTGTTTTTGGTGTTTTTGGGGCTTCTGTGTGGCGTGGTGAGTGGATCCCCTTGTAGCTCCTGGAAGCTACACCCAGCAGTGGCCTCTACAAGGCCCAGTCCCTTCAAGCATGCTTGGGACACAAATCGGGCCTATTTCTGAAAAAATAGGTTGTTTTTTTTGTTTTTGGTATTCTTGGGGGCTTCTGTGTGGCATGGTGAGTGGATCCCCTGTAGCTCCTGGAAGCTACACCCAACAGTGGCCTCTACAAGCCCCAGTCCCTTCAAGCATGCTTGGACAAAAATCGGGCCTATTTCTTAAAAATATGTTATGTTTTGTTTTTTGCGTTTTTGGGGCTTCTGTGTGGCGTGGTGAGTGGATCCCCTGTAGCTC